GAGCCGGGTCAGGTAAAGGGAGCTGGAGTTTTAAAGCAGTGTGCTCTAGCGTACGAGTCTTGTCCAGAGAGCTCCCGGGCCACGGCAGCGAAAAGTGCAGGGCTGCAACGTGACAGCGTCCGCAGTCCTCGTGAGGAGACTAAAGCGGCCCTCGGGAGCCCACCTGGCTGGCAGCGGGGCAGGAGGCAGACGTTACGCAGGAGCAGGCTGCGCCTCGAAGGAGCACCATCGCGGCACCATCGCGGCACCCTCAGCGCGCCAGCTGCGAGAGGAAAGAAGTGACTTGCTCTGGTTTTAGGGGGCTTTTCGGCCACGGTCCTCTGCTCTGAGCAAGATCCGTGGTGGGCATGATTTAAAATAAACTCTCCCTGCCTTTTGGTATCTCCACAGCGAATGGCCCCAAGCTGCTAGCTCCATGTAGGCTTGATAATTTACTCACATGGGTTTTTTGTCTGTAACAGGTTGTCCTACTAAAGCTTTTACACATTTAGGCTGGAAGTTGGATTGTAAGTCAAATACCAACTTGGCGGACGTTTGTCTAAATCACAAATCTTAAAATGCAATCACAAAACGGAGACTTGGACAAAGGCCTTGCTGCACAGGAGGTGTCGGGGGAGTCTGTGAACGACACCAGAAACGAAGCTACCCAAACAGAAAATGAAGGCAATTCTGTCAGCACAGGTGAGCCCTTCCAGATGGTTCGCTAGGATGAATTTAGGAAACTTTAGTGAACAGAGAGCCTAGAAATCAAGTCTGTCATTACTTATCTGGACACAATATGCATTTATTCTTTCTCCCACTGAAGTCACTGAAAATCTTTCCATAACTGAGGCTGAGACTTGCTCCATTGCTATCTTCTTGTGCTTTTTTTTTTTTTTCCTTCTCTGCCCTAGTTTTGGCTCAGATAGAATTGATTTTCCTTCTAGTAGCTGGTATAGTGCTGTGTTTTGGATTTTGTATCAGAATAATGTTGATAACACAGTGATGCTGTAGTTGTTGCCAAGCAGTCAAGGACTTTTCAGCTTCACGCCCCACCCCACCAGCGAGGAGGCTGGGGGTGCACAAGAGGCTGGGAGGAGACACGACCAGGACAACTGACCCAAACTGGCCATAGGCATATTCCATACCATATGACATCATGCTCCATATATAACTGGGGGGTGGGCCCAGAGGCAGTTCAGCTTGATAACTGACTGTCAGCTTTGGTTGGTGAGCAGTTGTGCTGTGCATCACTTGTTTTGTATATCATTATAATTGTTATTATTGTCTTCCTTTTCTGTCCTATGAAACTGCCTTTATCTCAACCCACAGGTTTTACCTTCTTTCTTTCTTTGATTCTCTCCCTCATCCCACTGTGGGGGGGAGTGAGTGAATGGCCGTGTGGTTGTTTTAGCTGCCGGCCAAGTTAAACCACAACATTCTGTTTCTTTGATTTTGTTATTGCTGGAGAGATACCTTTTCCTGTGTTGCAATTATACAGCTAGCCTGACCTCTACATGTTTTAATTATAATTAAATGAGCTCTAAAATGATCTTGTTTGCACTGTCTCTTTTTAAGTGTATGGGCAACAAGTGCAACTAGAAAGTGCAGAGCAAGAATCTGAAGAGAAGAGTATCAAAAATGCAATTAATCAAAGGCAGTCTAAAGACAGCTTGAGTGAGTATAGCACTGGAGACACCTTCCGAAGAGTGCAAAAGGGTAAATTTGTAGAAGAGCTAGACTAACAAACAGTGCTTGAGATGACTCAGATATGCCATTACTGCAATCTCTTTACATGCAAAGAGTAAACTATTATTATATACTATAGTAAACTATTATTGATGATTAAATGTAATATATAGTAGCTGTCTCAGACCATAAGAACATTGGTGCCAGTACTTTATTGTCACTGTACGTTATAATAATCTTAAGACTAGCAGGTAGTACCTGACTTCCAGATCTAAAAAAAAAAAAAAAAAAAAAAATGCAAATATCAACAATTTATTTTGCAACTACTTATTTTACTACTTTGCCTTCTAAAAAAGCTTCCTGTCATTAAAAATGTCAGCAAAAATCGTGGTTAGAACACTTCTTTTCTTGACATTCATATTCAAATGCTCTTCAGTATTTCTCTAAAGTAATTGGCCACATGACACTTTTTCCCCACTCGTGCTGTTAAACTGCAACTTGTTTTCTTACAAAAGATGTCAAAACTCAAGAGAAAGCCATCAACTGTATGTCCAGAGCAGATCAACAGAATGAACAAAAATCAGATGGTGATCACCAGTCGGTAACCAGCTCATTCAGACAAAGGACAGAAGAAAAGAGGGGCTGTGTAAGGTAATACATCGTTTATGTTTTTTATTTAAATCTTGGCATCATTGAAGTCAATGGGAGTTTTGCCATTCTGCATGTTAATTCAGGAGAACAATTTTGAAGATGAACTTGAGAATAATCAATAAATCAGGAATTAATGATATTTCCAGCATCTATACAGCTTTTTTTTTTTTTTTGGGCCACAGTAGCAAACTACATTCTATCTACATGATGTCATCTATTTAATGGATCTGGAGAAAATGGTGCAAACTTGTGGGAGTCGTTTGTCAGTAGATTTGACCATTTTTCAGCATCAATTCAGGCAATGCATTGTATTAATTCATCACAATATAAATATTACAGTTGTCGAGATAATTTTTAGCAGAGAAAATCCAGAGGTATCTCAGATGGTTAACAATAAGATACAACTCTGTGGTGGGCTGACCCTGGCTGGAGGCCAGGTGCCCCCCAAAGCCACTCTGTCACTGCCCTCCTCAGCCTAGCAGGGGAGAGAAAATATAACGAAAGGCTCCTGGGTCAAGATAAGGAGAGGGAGAGATCACTCACTGGTTACCGTCATGGGCAAAAGAGACTCAACTTGGGAAATCAGTTTAATCTTCTCCACCATGGATGTCCATGGGCTGCAGGGGGACAGCCTGCCTCACCATGGTCTTCTCCGCGGGCTGCACGGGAATTTCTGCTCCGGTGCCTGCAGCATCTCCTCCTTTCACACTCCTCTCTCGGGCTGCAATTGCTCTTCATGTTGGTTTGGGTTTTTTTCCCCCCTTCTTAACTCTTTTATCCCAAAGATGCTGCCACCATCACTGATGGGCTCGGCCTTGGCCAGCAGCAGGTCCGTCTTGGAGCCGGCGG